ACTACAGAACATGGGAGTGGCTGGAGAGCATTATATTGAGTGACATAACTCAGTCTCATAAGGAGAAATTCTGCATGAGACCATTATTATAAAAGTAGAAGGAAGAGGAGGGAGAAGGGGAGCTGAGGTTAGGAAGGAGAGGAAGTCTTGAGGTTTCATAGTTTGGTGGGCAGAGTTTGGGGTGAAGGAATTAGAGCCAGTGGAGACCTGAAAAGGTGGGAAAATGGTAGATATGGATCAGTGAGAACTAATTTTATAAAACATGATGTATGGGAATGTAAAACACTGCATGAATGAAAGAATGCATGAAACAATATATATAAAATAAACACAATTTATAGGATTTTTATATGTAAACCAGTATAAAATAAACAGAAAAAAATCATTTTTATTCAGGAGAAATTGATTCAAGATAATATTTTAGTTCTTTTGGACTTGTTTTAATTTTTCTTGGCCTCAGTTTGAACTTGGACATGATTCATTGATGTACTGACCCACAGTCTACCCCTGGCCTAGTTTTGATTGCTGATCTGAGCTTCTCCAGTGATTCTTTACGCTGATGTAGTCGGTCTGATTCATATGTAGTCCACCAGGGAGATCCACATGTAAAGTTGTTACTCGTGGTTTTTAAAAAAGGAACTTCACTGAATATAAAATTCAGTAATGCTATATTCAGCTCATTTCTGTCACCAAGTCTATACTTTCTGACCACTATTCATTGTTTCCAGCTTTTGCGTTCCGGTCACCATTTATCATTAACACATCTTGATTGCACATTTGGTCAGTTTTGGACTGCAAGATTTGGTAAAAGTTTTCAGTTTCCTCTTTAGCTCTGGTTGTAGGAGTGTATATTTGAATAATCATTTTATTAACAGATCTTATGTGTTTATAAATAATATATAACTAGCAGTGTTGTACTTGAGGACAGAACTTGAAATTGACTTTTTGGGGTTTTTTTTTTAAGCCAATGGGATGTAGAAGATAGATCTTTTTTTATTTTTGTAACAGTCATTTGAGGGCTGCATGTCTCTGTTTAAATCAATTGCGATCTAGAAGATGGCTTTTTTAAATTTAAAGAACAGTCTGTCATTTATGGGCCAGGAGCCTCTTGTTTGATGCAGTTGGAATCTGGAAAGTGGGTCTCTTTTATTTAACAGTCAGTTGTGGGCTCAGAACATCTTGAGAGGAGGCCTTGGAACCTCTTGTTTGAAGTAGATGGGCTCTGGAAAGTAGGTCTTTTTCATTTATTAGTCAGTTTAGGCCTGGTAGCCTATTGTTTTAAGTAGTTGAGATGAGCAGGTGATGTTCTTTTACTTGATTAACAGTCCTTTGAGGGATGAGAGCCTCTTGCTTGAAACAGTGGGGATCTGTAATGTAGATGTTTTTTATTTGACTAACAATCAGTTGTAGATTGGGAGCTTCTTGCTTAAACCAAATAGGACTCAGTGGGTGGGCCTTTGTGATTGAAAGTTGGTTGGTGAAGCCTGATTTGCCATTAGAGGTACAAATTAAATATCAAATTGTTTGAATTGGGGAATACAGTGTTCTAATTGGTACAACATTTGTCTATCATTTTGCTGTTCTGAGATAAGTTATGGATTGCTGTGATGCTGAAAGCTGTGCCACTGGTATTTCAAATGGCATAAGGGTTGCCCATAGTGGACAGGTTTTAGTAGAGCTCCCAGATTAAGACAGACCAGGAAACAGGATTGGTCATCCACTTCTTAAATAGCAGTCCTCTGAAAACAGTAGAACAATGGGGATTGTTATGGTAGAGCCCAGATTGGAAGTCAGTCAAAATAAAGAAAAATAATGACAAGCATTCTTTAATAATTGGAACATACAGGGTACAAAGCTTTAATGTTGGGAAACTAGAAATTGTAAAAAATGAAATGGAATGCTGGAACATTGACATTTTAGGCATTAGTGAGATGAGATAGACAATATCTGGCAACTTTGAATCAGATAATCACATGACACACCATGTGTACTAGGCTGGGAATGAAAAATGGAAGAATGATATTTTATTCAGAGTCAGAAAGTCAGTTTCAAGTTCTTTCCTGAAGTACAATGTTGTGATAGGCTTTTATTCATATACTTATAAGGAAGTTTGATGCACACAGAGACTTAATTTTTAGAAAGTCCCATTCATCTGTATTCTCTCCTGGTTGTGTATTTCTGGATATATTAGCAAGCCTATTTATGTCATGGGCTAGAGCTTCTAAGTTTGGTCCCATTTTGTCTCTTATGATTTTAACAGTTTGGGATTTTCTCCTAAATCCTGAATCTGCCTTGAGTTCACTTTTTTTGTGTGTCTGGTATGAGATGTGGATCTCGTTTCAATTTTCTACATGATATTTTTGTTGGGTACAGGATCCTCAGCTGGCAGTTTTCTTTCAGCCATATATATCTGCCATCCTATTGTCTTTTTTGTCCCATGGTTTCTGCTGAGAACTCAACTTAATCTAATCAGTTATACTTTTTTAGGTGACTATTGTGTTTTCTGGTGTTGCTTTTGGTATTCTATCCATATCTTTTATTTTTAAGAACTTGACTAAGATACCTTGTGATATGATATAGATGATATATTATGTCTAGTTGTTTGGAGTTCACCGAGCCTCTTGAATGTCAATTTCCTCATTTTTCCTGATACCTGAGAAGACTTTTTCTAGTACTTATTCCCCAATTTTCTCAGTGCTTCCCCCTGCCCATCTCCACTACCCCCAGTTCTGGAATTCCAGTAATGTCAATGTTATTTCATGATGTTATTCTACATGATTCTAATGTTCATTTTTCCTTTAATTTCCTCTTTTTTTCCTATTTGTATGTTCCCTTTGAGGTTCTTACTTTACTGTGTTCCTCTTCTTTTTTCAACTTGTTTGTCCTTCTAGCATGTTGGAAACTTCTGCCATTTCAGCCTTGATAGTCTGGATTGCGTTTTCATGCATTTCTGTTATTTCCAGTAATATGTTGGTCGTCTTATAATAATTTTTTTAAAATTATTGTACTTCTTTATTTTTTGTTTCAGTTCTTTTTCCTATCATTTGTAACGTTTTCAGTATTTATGTAATGTCATATTGATATATTTCTTCTGCTTTCCCTTCTCTGGAGATTTATTGGGTCTGCAGTCTGATCTGTTTTATTAGAAGATTTGTTTTCATATTTTTGTTTGCTTTTTATAATTTTTAAAGCTGTGTCTTGCTTTCTTGACATGATTTGAATTTCTTGCAATGTGTGAGGCCTTTTGTCTGCATATTTTGTTAACAGTGCCTTATCTTTGTGATGATATTGATAAGTTGCAGGCTCAAAGTGTTCCCTTTAAGGAGGAGGCCTTTACTTGCTTTACCACAGTTCTTTTGTGCCTATGCATCAGGAGAGCTCACCTTTTCTAAAGTCCTTCATAACCTCTCTGGTCTGTGGGCCGCAGATGAGTAAGTTCCCCTGATTGAGACATTTCATCTCCAGAGAGAAGGATGACTTCTCACAGTATCTGAAGATATCTGTTCAGTCGTCACCTGCATGATGGCTTTCTAAAATCTGTTAAAATTCTCAATGGTATATGGGGTGCTGGCTGAGGCATTTCCTCTCCAGGGAAGGAGAGACCAACTCACAGTACTTGAAGATGCCCTTTCTGGTTCCCATTATTTTAATTCTTTAAGTTTTAAGGAAAATATTCCTGAAAGTGGATCATAAGTTAGATGTTTAGTAAATAAATGATTACAGAATGTTTTCTTCCTAAGAATTCTTACCTTGATTAACAAATGCTTTGAAAAGTAACTGTTAGCATTATGAAATAACATTGACATTACCTCATTGTAAACTTTTGGTTTGAGTTTATCCTTAATTCAGACCCTGGATAATTTCAAAAAGTATAAACGTTATGCTTAACATGTTTACTGCTCAGTGTTATTTTTATTTTGGAATTCTGCAAAAGTCTCTGTTCAGGAATTTTACTAATGAATAGTCCACAGTGAAAACTAGATAAAAGTTTGAGTATTTCAACTCAAAAAAGCTTGAAATCACTACAGCTTGTATCACTACAGTTCTGGAAAATCCCATAGAAGTAGTCAATATTCATTGGAAACTTTTTTGTATCACATAATAAATGTCTCCCTGAAATCTAGTTTCCTGAGTAGAATTCTGAATTATCTCGGGCAACCCCATGTGTTTCAAGTAGAACTGAGCTCCATTTTTGAGCTGTCTACTTCACTTCTTTTTTTAGTGAATGATCTCTCTTAAATTGACTGCCAGGCCTTTCTTTTGAAACATTTCTGAGTGGATTCAAACTATCACCTTTTTCTTTAAAGTTAAGCCAAGTGTTTGACCTTTATGCCGTCTGCACTATTGCTGCCAATACTAAATAAATGGTGCAGCAGGGCTGGAAAAAGAAGACTCTTTTCTGATAAGTTCTGGCTAAATTAAAAAACAAAACAACAACAACAGAAAGCCAGTTTTAAATGAAATATCATTTAGTTTATTTAACTTGGTTTACCTCTACTGTAGCTTTCCACTAGACTTGGGGAAAGGGATTGTGTAACAATGAAAGAATTTTTCTTCTACTTTTCAAAGAGAAGAAGAAGTGGAGAGGAGGGGTGAGCAGAGAGAAAAGGGCAACAATGAATGAATGGAAATCCAAAATATCTTTAAATTTCCATTAAAATTAATAATAATGAAAAAAAAAATTTCTTACCTCAAAAAAAAAAAAGCCAACCAGTAACTTCTTTATTTTGGTCATATGTAAGGACTTGAAGAAAGCATTTTATATTAAAGGCTTGTGTGCTCCTTTAGTTACCACAGTATCAGCCTACTGAGCTTATGTTACAAAATTAATAACTGGTCCAGATGACTTGAAATATTGGAGGAAAGAAAAGCAAATCTCATTTGACTAAGTTACCTCCTTTGCTCATTTTTAAATACAGTCCATTCTGTTTACTTGTGGCTTTTACTGTTCTGTTGTGTTTCAAAACCTAATTTTTAACCATGTTTTCTTATTTTCTCCTAGGTTTCAAGATACCCACCTATGCTTGAGATCTACAGGCTACATGTCCTACAAGAATTAATCAATGGTTTTTCATCTCTTGAAGCTATAGTAGAAACATAAATATGGTGGTGCCTAAGGAACTACTTACCTTCCTCTGACTACAGTTCATTTGGACATACTTTATATTGAACAGAGGTATATACATTGAGGATACCCGTTTTGCAGAGACTCTGTCTTGTAGGATCATGGACCATCCTAGTAGGGAAAAGGATGAAAGACAACGGACAAGTAAACCCATGGTACAAAGGAGTACACACTGCTCCCGACCATCTGGATCATCAACATCCTCTGGGGTTCTTATGGTGGGACCCAACTTCAGGGTTGGCAAGAAGATAGGATGCGGGAACTTTGGAGAACTCAGATTAGGTAAGAATTTGGTTGTGTTGGTGACTTCTACTAATAGTGGCAATAGCTATAATAAGCTTGCATGTGTTTCAAGAGAAGCAATTGATATTTTTATGAGAAATACCTCATAACTTGTCCTTCTTGCTATGAAAACTAGAAAATCTGTGAAGGGGCTATCATGCCTTTTGGGATGACTGTTCACCTTAAGACTGAGCTGCCAGGGCGTAGTAATTAACAATTATAATCAGTATTTGAGACTTAGTTCTCTTTATGTGAAATAGATGAGCTTTGACATTTTCTGACTCTGAAGTTTTACAGTCTGCAGGGAGATCTGTAGAAAGATGTAAATAAAATGCAGATTATGATTTAGTAAATAAATCTGAGATCATGCTGTATAGGCTGTAGTTTCATCAAACTCTCAGGTGATGCAGATGGTTCTAATCTTTGTATCACACTTTGAAAGTAAGGCTTTGAGTTTAATTCAGCTCATTCTGCAAAGGAAAGAAAGTAAGTCTTTGTTTAGTAATACCCAGACTTGGTATACAAAGATAAGAGAAGTTGTCTGTGAAGTTGAGAAAGATTATTTGATGATATGCTGGTCTGTACGAGGAGAAATGTGGCAGCAGGATTGGTGGAATATTCATCACCAACCTGCGTTGTGCAGATGACACAACCCTGCTTGCTAAAACTGAGAAAGACCTGAAGCGCAGCAGACCTGAAGCGCTTGCTGCAGAAGGGCCAGGACTGCAGCCTTCAATGTGGATTGAAGCTCAACATCCAGAAAACAAAGATTCTCACTGTGGGGCCAATCGGTGACATCAATATGGATGGTGAAGAGATTGAGATAGCTAACAGTTTTAGTTTGCTAGGCTCCACAGTCAGCACTCTTGATACCAGTAGCCAGGAAATCAAGAGAAGAATTGCATTGGGAAAATTAGCTGTCAGGGACCTTTCCACAGTACTGAAGAGCAACAGCATCAGGCTGAAGACTGAGGTGAGCCTGATCCAGGCTATAGTCTTCGCCGTTGCGTGCTATGCATCGGAGAGCTAGACAGTGCCGAGGGATGATAGAAAGTGAATTCACGCTTTTGAGCTGTGGTGCTGGAGAAGAGTGTTGAACATACCCTGGACTGCTAGGAGAACAAACATGTTTGTCCTGGAGAAGGTGAAGCTGGGCTGCTCTTTGGAGTCAAGGATTCTGAAGCTTCATCTAACATAACTTTGGGCATGTTGCAAGGAGGGACCAGTCCTTGGAGAGGGACATCATGTTTGAGAGTGGAGGGACAGTGCAGGAGAGGAAGACCTTTGATGAGATGGATTGATTCAGTGGTTGGGGTAGTGAGAGTAGTTTTATCGGATACAATGAGGTTGGCGAAGGATAGAGCAGGTTTTAAGGCTCTTGTACATAGTATCACTATGAGTTGCAAGCAACTTGATGGCACATAACAATAAGCAACTATATTTGCATTTCTTCTTTGACGTTTCAACATCAGGATTGAATTAGAGTCCCAAGGGAGATATTATGCCATTTTATTTCCCAGCTGGGGAATTGGATTTTCTCTTTCAAGTTTGCTTTTATTGGTGACATGATGACTATTGAAAAAAATCACCTAGTTGAAAGAAGTAAGGTTGGGATTAAAAGATATGTTGGATGTTTATTTGCTTTTTATGGCTCTTCCTTGGTGAGTGGTCAAAAAGAAAATTAAAAAATTACATAAGTATATGAAGTTGGAGATTCGGTTGTATAATGTGAAGACATTGGCTTTAAGCTAAAGTGATTTCCTTCTTTTTCTTCATAACTCTTGAGGCTTTGAGTTATTATGAAGACCCATTGTAAGAAACTATAGCCCTTGGGGGAATAGGAGGGTAAAAACATTATAATTTATTACCTGTGGTACTTCTTGAGATTTTGAGGTAGGAGTAGAAAAGTTTTACCTCTGATCCCTCATAGAGAATCTCAGGGAAACATCATTGTACAATCTTAGGGAAACATCATTGTACTAAGCAGACATAACTGGATACAGAATTAAATTTAGAAATGCCGAGAATTAGTTTTGCTAATAAAAGGCTTTCGGGAGCTCTGTAGACTTAGTGGTGAGTTGCACTACCATCCCAAAGGCACATGGTTCTCTAATGACAAGAAGCTGCGCTGCATTCCCAAAGGCACATTGTTCAGCATGGTTCATATATACCAGCTGCTCCACAGGAAAGAAGAGGAGCAGTCTACTCCTGTGCAGTTTACTGCCTCTGAAAGTCCTCCTCTTCTTGCTTTGCTAACCTGAAATACATCTCTAAATACAAAGAGTCAGTTCCAAGGTGACAGTACATAACAACAATAATAGAAAACAAGCAACCTGGAATTTCAAGACCTGACCAGTATAATTAAAGGCTCTTTATATTTAGAGATATGTTTCAGGTTAGCAAAGCCGGCAGAAGCTACTGTGAATAGGAGTAAGATGTGTAATTTCACACTGCTTGACTTCCTAGCAAGTACTGAGTTGCTTTAGCAACAGTATTGTGAATATTCATTTATGTAATGGAGTGAATTTGTTTTAACATCACAGTGCTTGTATTAAATAGATTGTGACATAAATATCCACAGAATTGTTACTAAGAGAGAGTTTCTCATGGGTAAAAATTTCGACACTCTCAGAAGTTTAAGTTCTATAAAGATGAAGAAAAACTAGTTAATAGAAATGGAAAGTTTTTTTAATAATAACAAGTTTGTTGTTGTTGTTATGTGCCGTCGAGTCGCCTGCGACTCATAGCGACCCTATGTACAGCAGCCCTAAACTCCACTCTGTCCCTTGCCAATTACTGTCTCAGACCCGCCTATCCGCATTACCCCAGTGACTGAATCAATCCATCTCAACAAGGGTCTTTTATTCCTGTGCTGTCCCTCTACTCTCCCAAGCATGACGTCCTTCTCCAAGGACTGATGCTCTTTCAACATGTCCAAAGTATGTCAGACGGGAGCTTCAGAATCCTTGCCTCAAAGGAGTATCCTAGCTTCACCCTCTCCAGGACAAACCTGTTTGTTCTCCTAGCAGTCCATGGTATGTTCAACACTCATCTCTAGCACCACAGCTCAAAGTCATCAACTCTCCTTCTATCATCCCTAGTCATTGTCCAGCTCTCTGATGGATAGCAAGTAATTGGAAGACCATGGCCTGGGTCAAGCACACCCTCGTCTCCAGAGTGACATCGTTGTTCTTCATTACTTTGGAAAAGTCTCTGACAGCCGACTTACCCAGTGCAATTCATCTTTTAATTTCCTGGCTGCTGGTAGCAAAGGTGTTGACTGTAGAGCCAAGCAAACTGAAGCTGTCAGTAATCTCTTCATCATCCAATCAGCCTAGTGGTTAGAATCTTTGTTTTCTTGATATTGAGCTTCAGTCCATAATGAAGGCTGCAGTCCTTGACCTTTTGCAGCAAGCGCTTCAGGTCCTCCTCAGTTTCAGCAAGCAGGGTTGTGTCATCTGCATAACGCAGATTGTTGATGAATTTACCTCCATACTTCTCCTCGAGCCCAACCTCCCAGATAATCTGTTTTGCATATAGATTGAAAAGATATGGAGATAAGACACATCCTTGACACCCACCTTTCCCAATTTTGAACCATGCAGTGTTTCCTTGCTCTGTTCTGACAACTGCCTCTTGGTCCAAGTATAGGTTTTGCATAAGTACAATCAAGTGTTCTGGGATTCTTATTCTTATTCTTCTCAGAGCCAGCCACAGTTTGTTGTGATCCACAAAGTCTAATGCCTGAAACATAAATAGACATTCCTCTGGTACTCTCTGCTTTCAGCCAAGATCAATCTGACAGTTTATGTTTATGTTATATGATTTTCAAATTGATAGGAAATGCAAAAATTTAAACAAATTAAAAGGATAAATTTTTAGCCCGTATGTATTTTCAGAGTAATCAAGTATTGTTTTATTTCTTTAATAGATATTTCTTTTTTAAAAAAAATAAGTCATTCTTATTTTGACTGCCTTGTAGTCAGTAGAGAGACTCCTCCTAATCTTAATCCAAGTGGTTTTATTCTTGTGTCCCTCTAAGGTCTCCATTAGCCCTGAGATCATATCATTACAGGATAATATCTGAAAGTACTTTTTACCAAGGGACTTTCAGAATCATTTAGCATTCTTCTAATAATAGTATGGACTCCATTCTATTGTCCTCTTGTTCTAATATTAGTGAGTAGAAGAAGATTGTGCAGTCAATAGAGTACAGAAACTGAGAAATTCCTAATTGAAGATAGTTGCAAATTGGCCTTCAACTATGGCTACCAACAAGAAGGTGACTTCTTTTTCAAACAAATTTTGTCCTCTAGCTAAACTGCCTCAAATAACCAGGTACATCTCTGCTTCAGGATAAATATAGTTCCTTCTGTCTACAAAGTTCTTTACCTGAAATTTTACACATCTATCTGTGATCCTTCTATACTTACTGAAAATTTTCCCTCAGTCATATTGTATCCCATCAAGTTGCTTTGTTTGTTCATTGTCACTTCTTAGTTCAATATAAACTCCTTGTGGGACAGAAAATCTATTTACATTTTTTCCTGTTGCTGTCCCTTACGTAGATGGTAGATAGATAGATAGATAGATAGATAGATAGATAGATAGATAGATAGATAGATACAGACAGACAGACAGGAAGGCAGGCAGATAGAGAAACAAGACTACATACTGCTAACTAGTTGATGCTGACTCATAATGGACCCTTCATTGTGTTTCTGAGGCTATAAGTCTTTTAAGGGAAGATACTGCCCTTTTTTTTCTTGAAGAGTGGTTGTAGACTCAAACCATTAACCTTCTGATTACACATATAAGGCATTATACCACCAGAGTACTTTGGAGAGAGGGGGGCGGCTAAAAATAATGGGTTGTTTTTTAGTTTTAATTTTGTCAGGGTGTGTGGAAAGCAGTATGGCGCTTTCTCAAAAAGTTGCAAATAGAGATACCATTTGACCCAGCAGTTCCACTACTGGGAATATACCCTGAAGAGACCATAG